TTTTATTTATTTATAAAATTTCTTTTCAAATACCAGTGACAAGAAAATACAATGCAACATAATCACATAACCAGGATATTGATGTTAGTATCAGTCAGCAGATTTCTTTTACATGATAAGTACTCGGTGGCATTCATCCTTTCAAATGTGATACAGTGACCTTCAATGTCATATAAGGTCAAGAATGAAAGAAGTAGTTGCAATTATATACATACATGTCAAGTTTATCACGCTGTTTTGCTTCATTATAGATCTATTTCCAACTGCTGGCGTAAAATTACAAATGTACGACCAAATTTGTAGTTACTTAAACAGAAATCTCAATTTCGTTATGTCGCGTTTCAAAATAGGGTTATTCGCTAAATTTTTAAATTTTTATAGCTTCAAATTCTTTATTTATTATTGTCGTTTAATTTCATTAATAACTATTTGTAATTGTTACTATTGTTTTGTTAATCGATCGAAAGTGTAAAACGTCAAAACAAACTCTGAGGCTGATGAACAAAGGTTAAAAAATGATTAAAGTGTTGAGGAAAGATCTTAATCAATAAAGCTCTTTTCTTTTGATCTTTTTCACTAAATTTTAAAGGATAAACTACCGAAGTTCGAAAGAATAAAAATAAGAATCGTATAATTATCAACCAAGCAACTATGCTACTTTGTTCTTATTATTTATCTCAGTTACTTCATTAACAAAGAAAATATAAAACTAACATTTGGGATTTCTCATTCATTGTCAATTTTGAACATAAATATATACGTCGGAATTCTATAGACAAATTTTGTAATATATACGGTTATTCCAATAATAATAGTTTCATTAATAATTACAGCTCGAATATGATTTCAACACGAACAGTCTGGCAGTGACAGTGATACAAGCTGAAGACTTGCCAGCTTTGGATATGGGTGGCACATCTGATCCATACGTAAAAGTGTACTTACTACCGGACAAGAAGAAGAAATTCGAAACAAAAGTACACAGGAAAACACTTAATCCCGTATTTAATGAGACTTTCACATTCAAGGTTAGTATTTACTTTCACGGTTGTTTTTGTTCCTTAACCCTTAAGATATTATAGATGACTGTAGTCACTTATTAGAAATCAACTTTAAAGTACTATCAGCATTCAACATTTTGGCACTTATGAATGCTTATTCACTCTCTGCTCGATGCTTTTTTCATTATTATTGCGATTAAACAAGTATTTTTCACAGATGGATAATTGTAAGTTAACATTTTCCGTTTCTCAAACGGTTCGAATAGTGCGCGAGAAGTATTAAAATGAAACGTGCGCACTAAATAGGTATATTAATTTTTCATTGTTAATATTTTCGTTCCACTTTGGCCAAATAATTTTTACTTGTAAACAAATATTTTTCCAAATTTGTAATAAAGTTTGAATGATTATACAAGAATATTATAATAATTTGTCTTCGGTCTGATGGAAAAATGTACTAGTCGGTTTGTTGAAGTTTTTCTAGTAAAGTAAATTTAATAATATATTAGGTGAAGTAGCAAATAAATATATTTTATCAAATAATCGATTGTACGCCTCATGAAATACAATTTTAGACAATTTTATATATTATTATTACGCTCCTTTTATCAATCCTAGAGTACATATATATGTATAACCATTTAATATAGAGTTTATTAATTAATATAAATACAATTTCTGCTATTCACTTCGTTTATTCTGGAAAATTAATAAATCATCCATACCATTTCAGGGCGTCCCGTACGCAGATGCTATGAACAAGACTCTCGTGTTTGCGATTTTCGATTTCGACAGATTCTCGAAACACGACCAAATTGGTGAAGTGAAGGTTCCCCTCTGCCAAGTCGATCTGGCTCAAACGATCGAGGAATGGAGAGAACTGCAAAGCGTAGAAGGCGAAGGTGGTCAGGTAAATAAATAACTGATTTATTTGAAAATTAAAACGTTAACACTAAACCTACCGACACTTCATGTCTACCTATTTGTACCGCGACCGATTAAAATGGCCGGTTCTTTAAAAAAAAGCTATGTCCGTTATTATAAAATGACAAAATAAATAAATTTGTTTTTCATTTCAATTATAACTTTGATAAGAGACTTAACAGAGACAACAAAAATAAAAATAAAAAACTTAGATATATTATTTTACAAAACTATTTACTAAACTACCTAGAAACGTTCGTACAAAGATTGCCTGTGGTTACCGATGCACATCGTGTTTCGCTACACATTGTTATCAACTATTTGTATAATCATCCTTCAAATAATGTAATAAAGAAACTAATCTGTTCTCAGGCCATGCCACACTTTAATAGTCTTTCTGCTGTAAATCATTTTTAATTGGGTTTTAGATAATTTTACGGAATACTCATGAATAAAATACTTACGTCACGTTGTTCGCAAAATTAGTGAAATTAATTAGGTACAAAGTATTCCTACAATTCCGATTGTGATAACAAAAAACTATTCAATAACGATGTGACTATAATATTTCTTAAAATCCACTTATTCGATTTGTACTGTTCAAAGACAAAATATGGATAGCGAAGTTGTAGGAGTACACGATCAATAAAATCGTTTAAATTGCAAAAAATAATAACCGATCCTGCACAAATTTGTGGATTACAGGACAACAAATTGGGTGACATTTGCTTCTCGCTCCGATACGTGCCCACGGCTGGTAAATTGACAGTGGTCATCCTGGAAGCAAAGAACCTGAAGAAAATGGACGTCGGCGGTCTGTCGGATCCTTACGTGAAAATCGCTTTGATGCAGAATGGAAAGAGATTGAAGAAAAAGAAGACAACCATTAAGAAATGCACACTTAATCCGTATTACAACGAATCGTTCACATTTGAGGTACCCTTCGAGCAAATAAAGGTACGAATCTTTAACTTTCATCTATTGCCCCCCTTGTTTTTTCTTACGTTCATTTGATACAGTCAAGCGACACAGGTACAGTAACAATAACAATACATATAATGCTACACGTTTTTCGAACACTTCAACTAACAATAAATTAGACAATGCACATTTCCTTTTAATTATTTTTTTAGACAGAGACTATAACATAATTTTATTTACTATTTTTTTGTATCCTGCTAGAATAAGAGATACTTGAGTAGTTGTTTGGTAATTAATTACAAACGGACATCTTGTATTGATTTATCAATTGTTAAAACAGTCAATTACACTAATTTTAAATTACGCTGAACGTTAAGACTGCATTAAGTGTAAGTAAAATAAATCCTTTTTTAAATCAGGGTGTATTATGTACGATGTCGATATTATATTTAACCCTTCGTTAATAATACGGTTTTCCACCAACATGACCTGCAATATGGACCATTCACGATCGGGCCTGATTTTTTATTGTGATTTCTGGAAAATCATTTATTTTGGAAAATAAAATTGTAAGTGATGTATAAAAATAAGTTATAAACAAATTACAAAGTATACATTCTTATCATTAACACTAGAACAATCGTACCCGTCATAACGACGGATTTCGATTTTCCTATATTGCAACTACTGATATCTTAAAACCGTTAAATATCCAAAATGATTTGAAAAATAAATAGTTTTACTTCAATACTATGATCAATATACGAGCAACTGAAAAAAGTCGATTGTTACAATTTTTCTAAGGAATAATATTAATCATGTGAAACGCTCGATTATTCTAGCGTTAAAAAGTAACGGAGATTATTTTATCCTCTACGAACTTGGAATTTACCTTGGAAGTTAAGAGTTCTTTGAACTTAGAGTTCAACCCCTCTATGTACGAGTTTTTTTTTTAAATAGGGAACTTGGGTAAATAGTCTATCTCCTTCGCTATGGAGAAACTCAAGGTTGACATTTTTTTAATAGGACCTTTAATGGTCCATATTATTGGCGGAGGGTTAATTATAAAAAAGATAATTATAACGATGCATATTTACAAATACAGATGGACCGTGTGTAATACATTAATTAACCCTTCATAAGGTGACAGTACTATCTATAGTGCGCAATAGTTTTACTCGTCCAATTTGTGTTTTTTTTAATGAGGAAAGTTGTAACACTTTAACCCTTTCAAGAAATTAAAAATACGTCGAAAAATCATGTGACTATATTACTACAATCGATCTTATGAGGGGTTTAATATTGAAATAAACTTTTTAAAGGTACCATACTTCCGGACTGTAAGATGTGTTATTATAATATTTCATATTTTCCATTATGCATTCTTCTATAGTAATATAAGCTGATAAATAATGCATTTTCTAAAGTGCTTTGCTACGATTTTTACATATTTGCAGAAAATGCTGATTTTTTAACTAAACACTTTCAATTATTACTTACTGCTTATACAAACATTCCTTTTTACGCTCACTTTATGCTATTGTATATTCGCTTAAATCTGAAAAAATTAATTTTTTCTACAATTTCACACACACACATTCTACAGATGAAAGGATAAGTATAAGTGACAAATACATACATCGTTTAAGATTTACCATTTCGTAATTTAATATTAATAACTACTTGCCATTTGTTTATTGTTGTATTTTCTTTTGATGTACTAAGTTTTCTTCTTATCGTAAAATAGTGCCTTTACACTTACCGTTAAATAATTTACCTACAGTAAAATTTTTAAGCTTGCAGAGCTTTTCTTACATTACATTTTTATACTGTGCAGAGTATTCTATAAGTGCTGGTGCAACTGAAAAAGAATTCAGTAAATGTTATCATAAATATTTACTGTATTTTTATGTTGTTGTAACTGCAATTTGTATTAAAGACATTACTTTACTGTATAACCAACATATGACATAAATATTGTGATGGAAAAAATACTGTTGAAATATTAGTGAAACTGAACTTTAAATTTTGAAAATACTATTTGAATTAAAAATTTATATAAAATAATGTGTAGTTTTTTCACTGAAATTCTTTTATTCAAGTTGCATCATGTACTTTATTATGTACATACGATATAGACAACAGTACATTGAGGTGAACAAAACCATGAAAAGATGCATTTACAACAAAATCATGAAGGTAACACTTTCAAATTAATATGCCTGATGCAAAACAGGGGATCTCAAGTTGAAGAAGCACGAAATTTTCTCTAAATACCGACTAAATTTACAAAGCATGCAAAAATGCACGATTATACAAACTGCAAGTTTCAATAATTTGTGTATTTTCGCAATGTAACATAATTTTCAACCAGAATTAAGTAAAATTTAACTAACAAATATTTCAAATATTATTTACGATAGTGTTCGATTAAATAATATTTTAAATATGAACCAAAGTTCTTCACTTCAAGTACCTAAAATGTAAAAGAAATACTTTAGCCTTGCATTTCTTACATTTTTTAATAAAAGCAAATTTCAATTTCTTCAGAAAACCGGCAATGTAACGCACAAGATTATGATATTTAGTAAAATAACTTTATATCTCATATAATTTTAGAATACTTTTTATCCACGAAGACTATTAACCTAAGAAATCCGACATATATAAAGAAAATATTTGATTTCAAAATTTGAACATACAATTTGTATTAAAACTGTTCACTGTTTCATACGATATCCATACATCACTGACAATAACAACAAGAGGTCCTCTACCGGTAATTGCTTGGAACATATTTTTCATACTCGGATAGTGGTTCTCAAGTCAAAGAGGTCGTTCGACTTCTCTCTGACTTCAGAACTCCTGCTGTTCATAGTAATTACAGTCCGGAAGTGATGGTAACACATATAATATATATTTCCCCACGGGACAATATATTAATACGCAATTTCGCGTTTAGAAAGTGGAATTGGTTGTCACGGTAGTCGACTACGATCGTATCGGCACCTCAGAACCCATTGGGAAGGTCGTCTTGGGGTACAATGCGAGCGGAACAGAGTTGAGACACTGGTCCGACATGTTGGCTTGCCCCAGACGTCCTATTGCTCAATGGCATACGCTTAAGGACCCCGAGGACGGCGACAAGAAGGACTAAAACCGTTGAGCGAAATGTCCAAGTTAAGGTAATGCACACCAAATGGTTCTAAGCAGATATGAAAAATTGTACAGAAGCAGTTTTTTCCGTTTCGTTTCGTTGCGTTCGCTTTCGCCCCCCCAAAACTCGACAAACTATATATATTTTCCAACGATACTCATGGACGATGTACCGGACGTGGCAGCATTATCCTTGAACGAAAGGAAGAAACGAAAGAGGTGAAATAAAAATTTCAACAAAAATGAAAAAAATAAAGAGAGAGGGAGGGAGAGAGAGAAAGAGTGTGTATACGTGCGTGCATGCGTGCGTGCGTGTGTGCGTGGGTGTACTTGCGTTTGTGAGTGTGTGTGAGGGAGGGAGAGTGAGAGAAAGGGGAAGAAAATAATAGAAAAAAATGGATGCAA